GTCCTGCATCCCAGCCTTTAAAGGCACAGGGCTTGAGGCTGGCAGCCTCTTCCTACAGAATCCTCGAAGCCCAGGCTCACCCTCTAGCCCAGAAAGTGGTGGCAGGGCCAGATGGGCCCAGTGCTCCCTGTAGCCCCCCAGGAAGCCTCAGCTAGCCTTGAGCTCTGTGCTTCTCTTTCCACCTCTTCCAGCCTTCTACACACACACACACACACACACACACACACACACACACACACACCCCGGATCCCAGAGCAGTGTCACATGCTGGAAGGAGAACGGAATTTGAGGTCAGAAGATCTGAGCTGTCCTCTTGGCTGTGTGAGGTGGGCAAGTCCCTCACACGCTTTGTGCCCCAGATTCCTCAGAAGGTTCAGCAACTTTTTTGTATGTTACTTTAATCTCTCTTTTAAAAATTTCTTATTAGGGGCGCCTGGGTGGCTCAGTAGTTTGAGCGTCCGACTCCTGATTTCGGCTCAGGTCATGATCCCAGGATTGTGGGATCGAGCCCTGTGTCGGGCTCCCATGCTGAGCAGGGAGCCTGCTTGAAACTCTCTCTCTCCTTCTGCCCCTCTTCCCCTGCTCATGCTTTCTCTTTCCCTAAAAATAGAAAATGAAATAAAAATAAAACTTTTTAATTAAATAAAATATGAAGACATTTGTTCACATATTTCAGTTTTTAAAATCTTACAGTATGTAGATAAAGCAAATGCTATTTGCATGTCCTTCGCTGCCTTGCCCAGTGGTAAGTGCTGCGATCAGTTGTCTCCTTCTGGACCTTTCTACGTGCATTTTATAGGTATTTGCTATATAGGCTTGTATGACATATAGTTTTGTGAGTTTTTGGGTTGTTGTTATTACAGAAAGGGGATCGTATGAGGCACATTTTTGTGCAGCTTGTTCTTTTCTAATAATAGCGTATATCAGAGATGTTTCTGCCTTGGTGCTGCTGCCCATAGTTTATTTAACCATTCCCTAGTTGAGAGTTTAGGGTTTCCAGTATTTCACTGTTAGAACCAGCGCTGCTGCAAATGGCCTTGGGCGTGCTGTTTTGCACACTCATGCTGGCATTTCTGTAGGATGGACATGGTCCACGAGCTATTTTTTTTATGCTGACTCAACACATTGTAAGGCCAGCGTTTTGCATCCGGTGCCTGTTTGTTGCTGGCTCTGAGCTGGCCTCTCCATGGCGTGGCTCCCCCAGCCTCACCTCTGGGAGGAGAGGACAAGAGACATAAGCCCAGGTCCTGGACACAGCAGGGTCAGGCCAAGTGTGTGGCCAGGGGGCCCAGCCAACAGGGTGAGCCAGGAAAGTTTGCCTTTGGCTCCTCTGCCCTCTGTGCATGCCCCCTCCCCCGGCAAGCCCACTCTGCCTGCTTCTCTATCAGAGTAGGAGACAGATGGTCACTACCTTGCCCAGCGTCCCAGAGCTAGTGAGGAGCGGAGTTGAGGCTGCAATCCAGGTCAGGCGGACTTCCAAGCCCGTGCTCATAATCACCCCCATCTCTCCACCTTTGAGGGGGTCATGCCTTGATGTCCCCCGGCACGGAAGAAAAATGACCATCAGCAAGCCACTCACTGGCTCTGAGACTCCTTTCCTTGTATGTAAAATAGTGATAGTAATTCCCACCTCCCAGGGCATATTGGGCGACAGAAATGAGATAAAGGATTAGTGTGTGAAAGGGCAACTCAGATGTAAATTAATAGCCTCCTAGTCCCACTCCTGCCTCTTGCCCCTAACCCATGCTCCTCCTCCCACGTGCTCCTCCTCTTGTGTTCAGCTGGCCACCAACTCTAGGAAGTACCTGTGTCCTTTCAGATGTCAGCGGTCAAACCAGCTGAGATCTTAGCTGCCAGATGTTAACTATAACCAAGATATCCACTCCCAACCAAAACGTTAGTTAACGATGCTTACCAACACCCAAGATTATCGGGCTACTTGCCCCTGTAATGAATGCATGCTCATAATGTAATCTCTGATAATTTGCTTTCATTAGACTGTCAATTCTCTGAAGACAAGCTCCTTGGAACATAGTAGGTGCTCAATAAATATTGGTGGGACTAAATGAGGGAAAGCCTGCAGCTGACTCGCAGGCATGAGGTTGCAGCGACAGGTGCAATGGCATTGGAATCTGGGGCAGGCTATCCCAGAGAGCACCACGTAGATAAGCATCCGTGGCTATAGGCCAAGGGCAGGGGCGGAAATCACTTCATTCCTCTTCCTTCCAAGAGCAAAGCCTGCTGGCTGCTGTAGGAGGCCTCCTGGGTGGGTGCTCCTTGGAGGAGCCACCCCCAGACCTGGTTGGGTCCGAGCCTTCTAGGTTGAGAGAGTCAATTTCATTAGCTCACCCAGGGGTGACCAGGCTCTGAGAAATCAACCAAGCAAGCCACTGATTGATAAGCCAGATCAGCAATTTATTAACTTATGCTGGCAGCATGACTGCTAAGCAGCCTGTAGCATTCAAGTCGGTCCCTCTCCTTGCGTGTTCTCTCTTTAGAGGGCAAATTTATGTGAGAATCCGAATCCTATTCAGAAGGAGCCGAGTAGAACGAAGTGACAGGATACGAAAGAACAATAAGCGTTGAGGCCGCATACATCTACTTACCCTCAAAACCATGCCATAGTGTGGTCATTATTACTGTCCCACTTGGTAGAGGAGGACACTGAGGTCAAGTGGGTGATGGTTACTGAGGGGTGGAACCGGCACTCAAACCCGAGCCGTCCGACTCCAGTCCTGCGGTCTCATGCACCGTTCCCTCAACGCTGCTGAGCTCAGGGAGCCTGACGTGCCTGGCACAACCCCCCCTCAGCCCTGGCTGTGGCTCTCCGCGTTCCTTCTGTTAAGGCTGCGTAGCGTCCCCTAGTAACATTTCCGCCTCCTGGATGAGCTGTTGGAGACACCTGGCTCTCAGCAGCAGCATACACGTGTTCTCAAGGGGGCACCCCTCCTTCTGCATGTAACAACTATAAAGCCACATTAATAGCTCACGTCCATTAAGTTCGTACCACGTGTCAGGCACCGTGCCAGCCACTTGGTGTGCATTATCTTATTCTCACGGCCTCAGGAGGCAAGCACACTCATCTCCCTTTAACAGACCCGGGCTCAGGGAGGCTGCCTTGCCCAGGGTCCCAGAGCTAGTGAGGAGCAGAGTTGAGGCTGCAGTCCAGGTCGGGCAGACTTCCAAGGCCGTGCTCATAATCACCCCCCCCCACCTTTGAGGGGGTCATGCCTTGATGTCCCCCCATGCTGGAGCTGTTCCGTATTAGAGCTTCTGGCCCTTGAGCTCTAGTCCCTTTCTCTCTGTCCCTTTGCCCCACTGCTTCTGCCACACCGAATTCCTCACTTTTCATACCATGGCCCGCGCCTCCCCATGCCTTCTCTGTGTAGCAAACTCCTACTCATCCTTCGAGGCCCAGGCAAAATGTCACTTCTCCTGGGCTACCTTCCTCCTGCTCAAGCAGCCCTAATAATGGAATTTACCAAGGTTTCTTTTTTTTTTAATGTTTATGAATTTAGTTTGAGAGAGAGAGAGTAAGGGGGGGGAGCAGAGAGAGAGAGAGAGCATCTCTGTACTGACAGCACAGAGACGGATGCGGGGCTCGATCCCACAAGCCATGAGATTATGACCTGTGCTGAAATCAAGAGTCTGACGCTCAACTGACTGAGCCACCCCAGGTGCCCTCTGAGTTTTACTGCAATCGTCTGGAAGTGTTCCCCACTAAGCGGTGAGCCCGGAAGGCAGACATGGTGTTGTCTCTGCCAGCAAATCGCT